TTCTTCCCCTAGCCTCATCGAACTCTCCTCCCTGAATCCTCAAGTGCTTCAAGGGCTGGAGAGCTGCCACCACCAGCTGCACAGGATCTTAAAGAAACCTGGGCCCATTTTCATAATTTAGGGAAGCAAACAAAAAAATGAAAAAAGAAAAACCAACAGAAAAAAAACCCCAAACCACCATAAAACCAGAAATTGAGCGGATTCAAAATAGAAGAGTAAAGTCCTATATCTCTATTCCCCCCTTCACTGCATCCTTTACTTTCATCTCTCACAAGAAAAAAAAAGTCTTTAGAAACCAATATTAAAATACAAACTGAAGATTTAAGAAGATTTTGTGACATCAGGGAACACCCCAGAAGGGATGGTGATCTCTGTCCGAGGCTTGATCCTTGGAAACTCCAGCGCAGCTCAGTGGGGAACACTGCAGCATCATGGAGCAAAAGGAGGGGTTTCATTCATTTAGCACCAGCCCCTGCTCTAAAATGACCTGGAGGAAAGAGAATTTGGTTCTCCCTGGGCATGAGAAATTATGGTGCATGGCCCGAGTTCCCCACTCCTGGGAAGTACAGCCCTACTCACATCAGATAAAAAGTTGGAAAAGAGCAGCAAAGATAAAAAGAACAAGGCAGAGACATCAGTCACTGCAGCCTTCTCAGCCTTCCTTCCTTGGCAGCATTTTGTTTAAGGAAATGCAAGAGGGTACCTGAGCTTGTCTGCGACAAAGATCACCCTCCGTTCCAGAAGCAGGGAGGCGAAGACTCTGCTCAGGTGCCGCACGCTGAGGGATGTGAACAAGGACTCAAAATCAACATGCTCGAGCCTGGAGTCGAGAGGCCGCCGCAGCTCGATGACCTGTTGGAATGAAAAACACCACAGGTCAGCTCTCGCTGTCCACCCATACTGTGGCAAGCACAGACAGCTAACTAGCATTACCGACTGTGCTGGTGAATATTGCACAGCATTAATCCCTCAAACAGTCTTTCCTTGCGTTACCTCCCACAAATCCTTCTTCCACATGAAGCTGAAGACAATCCAGAGTCCTCTCCAATGGGCACAGCACAAGACCAACCACAAATTTTCCCCACTGGACTGAGGACAGGGAGCTCATCATAAGGACGAAAACTTAGTTTGTGTCCAGCTAGGGGTGGTTTCCAGGCTTTCTGGCATTCAAGCAGCAGAATGGCACAAAGCCTTTCAAATTTGCATTCTTATTCTTACAGTTACGATTTTTTTGTTGTTGTTTTACTGCAAGAATTTGGATGGCTAACCTACTGACTATAAATTTTTCATATCAGCTACAGAAAAGAGCAGCCTATGGCCATTTTTCTTTGTTCAGACCTACTTAAATAATTCTTGTCACAGCACCTTAGCACTTCATACTCCTTATCTTAGACAGATGCTTATCTAAATTGTTCTTGAAAGCCTCCAACACCACACATTTCATAAATCCCACAAGAAAATTGCTCTAGTTCTGAACTAGCCTTACCAACACCAAGCTTGCAGCTGAAACATGTCAGTGGCAAATTACTTCAACTACTTGTTGTCTTACTCTCAGTATATGCTCTGAACAACTAGTCACCTTCCTCTCTGTCAAAAACTTACTGTATATTGGAAGTTTATTATCACATGTCTTCCTTTGCCCTTTGTTTCCTATATTAAGCAAACAATTTTCTCAAGCTTTGCTTGTATTTTCTAAACCACTTAGTAAGTGGAACTACTCTTCTGGGGCTTTCTCCTAGCGTTTGCATTTTTTTGGAAAATGATACTCTAAATATCACCAGTGCTGGAAAGCAGAAAAAAATTACTTTATTATTCATCCCTTCACTTTTTTTCACAATGCAGGAGTTTGTCTACATAATACCATACTGTTACTTCTACTCACTTTATGTCCCACTATACCACCATATCCTTTTCTGAAGTACTGTTGCTCACTCAGTTACTTCCATGTTGTATTAGACTACACATTTCTTCTTCACAGCATTTTACTCTTGTCCACATTGAATTTCACAGCAAAGCTTCAACTTAGCAAGGCCATTTTGAATTTTAATCCTTTACTCTCCAAAGTGCCTGCAACCCATCCCAATGCTGTCATCTACCCATTGTGTAAATGTAGGGTTTATGCCATCAACTGCATAATTAATGAACACTAAGGATCCTAGAAACAAAACAGCCAAAACATTCTCACAGACTGACAGCACACCGTTGGGACTCTACTCCTTGAGTGCAGATTTTTAACTAGCTATGCATGTGCTCTGCAGTAACTTCATTTAGTTTGGACTGTTTTCAGTTTGGTTGAGGGGAACACTGTCAGGTAGTGCTGAAAGCCCTCAGACACAACCTCTATCAACACACTCACTTTCCTCTCATATTCAAGGTACACCATGCCCAACAGGAGGTATGGCCAAGACTACATTCAGTTTGGCTCCCTCCACCCTCCCAGAGACGTTCAATACTATGCCCAGAAGATCCACACTTGTAAAACCCTTCCACTGTCCTTACACCACACTGTGTGAGATGCAAAACGTACTCTTACCTCCATGCTGTGAAAGTGCCATTCTGAAAGGCTGCAACATTGCCCTTGTGTGGTTTCAAGTATTTTTTTGACCAGAACTCTATGCCCTTTCCCATATGAACAGTGGTTCTGTATTAAGGGTGCTGGAGCACATGCTATGAACCCTGTCTACAGGAAGTTAAGTGTGGGGGCCTCATGTGCTGGGCAGCATGGGGCCCAGTGGTCTGTTCCACTTGGCCTCAAGGCCAATGCCCTGTTTAATTTTGCCTTATTAGCATGGCTGTGTCCTTAAATTAATTTTTGCCATATGATTTCCCTTTTGATTCTGAGGTCACTGAAGTCTCCATGCCATCCCCTCCAGTCTCCTGTTTTACTCCCTAGCTTCCCCACACAGTTGCCAGACAATCTGTCCTTGAAGATCCCCAGTTCTACATCACAGTGCCAACTTCCATTAGCCAGTCCTGCACCATTTGCTGGCCTAAGTCTACCTCTCTCTAGGGTGGTGTCTTTACCTCAGTTCCTGAGCCTGGCAAGAAGTTCTTGACTGTAATCGTCCGACCCAAAGCTGGGAAAGGTGCCTCCATGACACTCCTCATGAGAGGCTGCACCAAGGCCGGGGAAATGCCCCGTCTCTTCTCAACCTCATCCAAGATCTGAAATAAAGCATGAATACAGAAAAACATGTAAATCAGGAGGAGGGAGGTAACACCAGGAATAAAGTGCACCAGCATCTACGTTCTCTCCTTTACCCAGCATCGACACGGAGCCTTGAATCATAAGGAAGAAGGTAAAAGATGCAATTGAAGACCCTTAATTTCCTTCAGCAAGAGAAACCCAGCCCCAGTAAGGTCAGTGGAAAGCTTACAATTTGCAAACTCCCCACCACCCTCAAAGTAAGGACCCCACCTTTCAAACTCTCAGTGCTTATATTCTGGTAGTTCTGCTGAAGGAACAAGGCAACAACTGACAATCCATTTTTCCTTTTAACTGTGTTTTTGCTAGGTTCTGGAATGAGCATGCAGTTGCCTTGCCAACACATTTCAGGACTTTTCTTCAGCCATCAGCTTCCCTGATCCTCATTCTTCTGGTGTTGACTTCACCTTCAGGTCCCTCTTGGCCTACAGCACAAATTCCCTCTCTCTCCAACCTCACCTTAGAGAAGAGATTGAAGCATCCAAGGCGACTCACAATGCAGTAAACTTCTGGGAGACGCTTCCCCTTCCCACTGGGCTTTCAAGACAAACACAAATACACACACAAAAAAACACCAAGAAAATGTCAGTTTTAACTACTGCAGAGACAGAGTGATCGGTCT